TGAGCAAATAGAAGCAAGAGCCCCAAAAGATGGCAATGTAATTAGCATCTTAGGACTCGTGAGTAACAGCTGTGAGCTGTGTGTATTGGACTGCATAGCTCTCAAAAAAGCTCTCTTCTGGTCAGAGAACAAAGGTGAGAGCTGGGGCCCTACACGCAATTTGAGTGATTGATGTCTCTGTCACCTATTGTGATCCGCAAAGGAGCTTTGTATTAGGAGCAGTTGTTTCTTTTACCTGTTTTATTTACAAAAAAATATATCCAGTTCTCTTATAGATTAATGGAATAATATCCAGTTCTCTAATAGATTAAGAGAATTTAGGATTATAAAAGGAAGGATTCGTGCTGAGATGGTGGTCCCCCTGCCTGGAACCAGATGTTCCCAGCTGAGGGTGTCCCCAAGCCTTCTTTGCTACCCACTCTCTGCATTTAGCAAGAAAATCTTCTGTGCCTTGTCCTAACAGGCTGGCTACCTATTAGCGCTTTTTGGAAAAGGTGTTTTTGGAAGGAATGTGTCAAGCTTCCACTGCTGTGGGAGGTAAGTTTGGGTGTCTGAGCGGCAAACCACGTGCAAACTCCCCATCCAAAGGGAGCCCTGCCCGATGTCCAAAGTGCCTGAGCCATTCACCAGGACGAGGTGTGGGACCCTGGGGCAGCAGGCACGGCAGGGAGGGCTCAGCACCTTCCTGCTTCTCACCCTGCTTCGCTGAGCCTCAGAGCGCAAGGTAGGGCAAGCCGGAGGCTTCTTTTCCCAAGCCCTCAGCTGGGCGGCAGTTCCCTGCTGGGAGTTGCCTGTAAGTCTGCTTCGTGCCATGGTCGCAGGGTGCTGGTCGCAGGGCACCGCCAGCCTTGCCCGTTAATTGATGCAGGGTTGACTCATTCACAGTGCCAAGACCCAGGATGGCTGCTGTCTGTGTTTTCTCTCCTTCCCTTTTGGTTTGGTTTGTTGTTTTTTTTTTTTGTTGTTTTTTTTGTTTTTTTTTTCAAATGGCCGTGACTCAGCCCTTCCCGGCTGCTCTCCGAGTTTCCTGGTTTCTGAATAGGCTATTCTTGGGACAGTGGTTCCTGGCTGATAGCAACAAGGGGAGTGTTGTTTGTGTTACTTTGTTTATTTATTTATTTTGCCTCCTCTGGCCTGGCTTTAAGCCCTGCTTGCCTCTGATCTTTTCCTTGTCCCCGAATTACTGAATCGTCCTAAATTGCTGGATGCCACCTGGGGTTTGTTCTTGCCCCTGTACCAAAGCAGTGCAGAATCAGGCTGGTCCAGGCCGAGCACCTTTAGCTTTACCCTAGTGGCAGGGTGATGGTGACACTCCTGAGAGCACGGAGAGTTATCCTGGTACAGCTCTGCCTGTTGTAATGCTTTAACCCCCCTCTTTTATCCCCTCTAATTCCAGGGGGCTGTGCTGGGCTCTCCAGTGATCTGCCTTGTGAAGGTGAGGGTCACTTCTTACCACCGTGTCCATACAGCACAGGTAACACGGTGAGAAGTAAAGGGAAAATACGAACTGGGATTTAAAATCAAGGAAAAGCAGCTTTCTGATGACTTAATTAGTTACTGCCCGCCCCCACGGATTGCAGAGGCTGCAAACCTGGAGCGTTCCCTGGGATTCCCTTTGGCATGCCTCACGAGGCAGGTACACAGCTGCTCGCCACGGAGGATTTTGTTTTTCTTCTGAAGTTTATTCCTCTGCAGTGTGGGCTGTGGGAAGCCACCTTCCAGGGCAGGCAGTGCTCCCAGGCCGGGCGGCACAGCTCTTGCTACGCAGCTGGTCTGGAAGCGAACGCGGTGCCTAATATTGAGCAATATTTGCTGGCTCGCACTGCTCTGTCCAGGCAGTTATACACGAGGGGGAGTAGCCAGAGCTGTTGTATATCTTGCCTAGAAAATACAGTTGGCTTTTAAAAACAACAGAGGCGCTCTGTTTTCTCACAGGCTGTGGTTACCAAGATCAATTTCTTAGACAAAATACTGGAGAACTGGAAACACAAGGGCAGTGTTCTCCTCCAGCACCCCTCCACGTTTTTGGGTCTGCTGTATTGTTGTTAAGCCAACCAAGATAAAAGCGTTTCTGTGCAAGGAGGCTTTGAGAACATTCGCTGCCAGATTAAATTAGCCTTCCTGAGAATAATTAGTAGCTGGGATGGAGGCAGCCCCCCTCGCTGCAGCTGTAAATTCCACTCGTGCAAGTGACTCAAATGGTAGGTGTGAAAGCTGTGTCTGGGGCACTGCTGGTACCTTGAGATCGGATTTCTAGTCAGTTCTGAGTGCAAAGCAGCCCACTGAATTGTTATTTATTTATTTATTTATAAATAAATAAATAAATAAATGTTTATCCTGTGGGCATCTTAGCGTCATGCACTTGAATTTCCACCCATCTCATCTCCTGCCGTGAGAGCAGTGACCCCGCCTTGGGACTATTTTGCTCCTGAGAGGGTTTGAAGCCCTCTGATCAGCAACACTCCAAGTCTAAAAGTGAAGCCTTGCGGTAGTGACTTGACAGAGAGGCCGAGAAAGGGTTTAGAAACGCTTAGAACAGGGACTTGAGGAAGTGTGCTGCTGAGGAGTGGAGATGCCTTGGAAATCAGTCGAAATACCTGGATTTTCAGCACAAGGTCTTTGCTTTCCATGTCTGCTCTTCTGGAGCTGGTGTGGCTCTTGTCCCACGCGTTCTGGTGCCTGGAGCCGTGTCCTGGAGAGGCATGAGGACGCCGACTCTCTCCCTCACCCTTGTTTTCCAAGGGAATGCAGCCCTGCGCTCCGTGCAGATCTTGCTGAGTGTGGCTGGCTGATTTGTGTCTTGGTCAATGTTCCTCTTGGATCTGCTTACATTTAAGCAAGGCGGGCTCACGATGGGGCTCCGCGTGCCCTCGCCATCTGCCCTGCTGGGGCTGCCCTGCAGCAGGCAGCAGCAGCGAGCAGGGGCACGGGGAGCAGCTGCTGGCACGACCGGAGGCACCGATGTGCAGCAACTCGCTGCGTGCTGTGGTTCGGCAGAGAGCAGAGGTTGGGGTGAGGGGTTATGAAGGAGCTGGCAAAAACTTGGTGCTGCAAACTGAAACCAAAGGCATGGATACTCAGCGTGGGCTGGAAGCAGAGACGGGACCCCAGGAGCTGTGCTTGTGGTCCTTCTTGGTGGCAGGGCTCAGAAGAGAGTTCGTGGCGTACGTTGCAGCTGGGGTGAACCCCAAACCACGCTTATTTGTCGTGGTCTTAAGTAAAGTGGAATGACACAGAGCGTTTCTCACGAGCCCTCAGAAAAAAACACAAGGTGACACTGTACCTGCTAAACTGGGATGTCAGCAGCTTCTCTGGTGCCAAGAGAGGGGTATTTGTGGGGAGAGCATTTGCACAAATGTTTTTGGAGGCTGGAGTCGGCCCTATAGCAAGCTGGTGCTGTGCCTTGGCTAAGAAAACATCAGTCCTTGGACACGTATTTTGTACATCTCTTGGAAGGAAAGTGGATCTGGAATCACCATCGATGTATTCGAAATTATTTCATTGTGCTGCAAAATCTGCAAGGGAATTCTGAATAGGCTCTTGGGCACTGATTAATTCTGAAGCTGAAATGCGGCTACATCTCCACAAAAGTGCTGATCCTGTACGACTTTAATTTCCTCCTCCCTTGGAGCTCAGTGTGTTATTTGATGGAAGTCACACATCTAATCAGCTCGATTCAGCAATGATGTAGCTGTGTTATTTGACTTTCTCTCAAAAAATTCTATAGAGTGAGGGAGTAATGAACAAATAGCGTGGATAAAGGAATCAAATATTTTTAATACAGTGCTGGGAAAGGGAGCTATAGAAAGCTGGGCTGTCCTGTGAGAAGCAGTGGGCAATCACCCTGTATTCATCTTCTCTGTGAGAGAGCTGGGAGGCAGGCAGCAGGCTATAACAACTCCTCGTGACTCTAACACTTCTTTTTCGTGGAGGTAACTGAAGAGCAGAGCTTGCTGCTGCTGTACGTGGCCGAGCTCAGCAAACCAGTGGGCTGTGAGGAGCTCAGGGTGGTCCCTGGGGAAGCCCCAGGCTGTCTGATGCTCTGGGAGCAGGAGGAGGGCAGGGGGCTCGTGCTGTGCTTGCTTCCTAACTCGTTTTTAAGCATCTGTTACAGGCTGCCGTCAGGGACAAGATACAGAGCTGTGGTTGTTGGTAATGCAAGGAGCTATAGGGCTCCTGCCCCCTCGTCTCTGGGATTTGTACTTGCCTTTAAGCTGCTTGAGTGGTTTAAGCAAAAACCAGCTAACGTCGTGGCACAGCTAAGCTTGGGGCTGTGTTAAAACACTGTAGTATTGGAGTAATCTTGTTTTGTTTGCTCTAGGTCATTGCAGGTTGTGTTATTAACGTAGAGCAGATAACAAATGGAAGAGGTAACGTGGTGTTTTTCCACTCGGGGTAAAGATCAGGTAGATGTCCTGGGTGCTGGATGACAGCCAGTGATCTCACTGGGTGCTTTCTCATGGGTGTTACCAAGCGTGTGTTCGGGCTGTTTGTCACCTTCAGCAATAGTCCCACGGAAAGGCTCTGGTTCTCCAGAGATCTGGTGTGAGGCACCCCATTTTCTCTGAGTCTTTCAGGAGCAGATGGCTAAGGTGCAGAGGAACACAGGTTTGCCCTTCACATTTCCTTTATTTCACATCTTTTCACCCATACGAACAGCTGGCCTGTTGCAGTCCGTCCTCTCTGGAGAGCAGGTCAGGAGCTGGAAATGCCTGACACAGAGCACCCCTCGAGAGGGAGGTGTTCACTTCCCAGCCCTTCCGTGCCGATAGCTCCCCTGCAGCCCCTCTTGGCTCTCGTCACATGCCGCTGCCAGCGCGGTGAGCTCTGCAGAAGTGTGACGCTTGCTGCAGCTCAGGAACCTGCAGCAGCTGCCCCACTTTGTTCTTTTCATTTTGGATAGTTTTTCTTTAAATGCTCGGGTTGACCAGGTCCTGGCAATGCTGTTTCTGCAGCCGACAAGCGCTTGGTCAGCCCATCTGGAGGCGAACAGCACTGGAGAGAATCCCAGAGGCGGCAGCAGGTCCTTGCAAGCCCTCCTCCCGCGTGTAACCCTTTGGGGGTGCTGCGGATAAACCATCCTTGTCTTAAGCAGGGGGATTTTGTCTCTGCTTTTGCTGAAATCCAGATAGAGGAGCTGCACGAAGCTGTAATCTGAATTTCTGGCCGAGAACAGCTGTGCCTGGACTGCATCAGGGAGGTTATCTGATGGTGCTTTGGATGTAATACCCTGAGAAATCTCGCTTCGGCCACAGCTCCTGGCTTCCAGCGAGGATCCTGCTCGTGGCTGGTTTGCCTGCTGGGGTATGGTGGCACGCAGGAGGTCAAACGGCACGGCCGAGGCCCCAAGGTGAAATGATTGCAGTGGGGATGCTCCTCCAGAGCCCGGTGTGCTGCACAGCAGCCCCAGCTGTCTGACCCGGCCGGAGCACGGAGGCGAATCGCGATATCCTCCAGCAGCCCTTGTTCTGAAGGACTGCTGCTGAGCTCCATCTCTGCGCCGCAGGAAGAGCCTGACCCTCCTGGAAGGAGCAGTTTTCCACAGCTGAAGTCTGACTGCAGAGGCGTGGGACAGAACAGCCCGGCTGTTTCTGCACGGCGGCTTTCCTCTCCCTGGCAGGGACGCTGAGGGCGCACGGCTTGTGCTCGGGGACACGCAGCTGAGTCGCTCGGAAAAAAGAGCAAACCTTTCCCCTGGTCCTGACGCTGGGCTCCCGTCGGCGCCGTGCACGCCTGTGCTGTAGGCATGCGCCCTCTTGCTGCTTGCCCAGGACCAGGATGCTGAGCTCCTGAGGTGCCGCTGGGGTGACCGGCGGGGTGCAGCGGGGGGGGACGTGCTGCTTGGTCCAGCACCAGTGCGTGCCCTCCCTGCCTGCTGTTATCCCTTCCCTCCTGGCCCCGGGGAGAAACACAAAGGCTGGAGGCAGCAACCGCGCCTGGGAAGAGGCAAGGCAGCGGGGGAAGTTTGGCTGGCTGACACAGAAAACCTCTTTTTGTTCTGCGTAAAAGGCTGGCAGAGGGAAGCCCCAGCACTGCTTTCGCAGCGGGGATTTTTGCTGTCCTTCCTCCCCAGGTAAGCGCTGCCGGCTGCGGGGTGCGCGGTGCTGAGCGGTGGGATTTGAGCCATGTCCCCGCGAGCTGTGCGAGCAGGCGTGCGGGCATGCGCGTGGCACGGGCAGCACCCGTGGCTCCTTCGGTGGCACAGTGGTGACAGTGAGCGTGTGGCAAGAGGTCCGGGCTGGCCGTGGGGGTGCTGCTGCTGCTCATAAATGTCGGTGTGCTCGCTGCCATCAGGCGCGGCTCTGTCCGCCTCTGAGCTGCCAGTGCTCCCCGCAGCCTCTGCTTGTGCCCCTAAAGCCCTTCTAAAGGCTAACAGGCTTCCCATCAAGTGGCATTCTGCTAACAGCTGACCTGTCTTTGTACTCATCCCTAGCAGATTTAACTTCCTCCCTGTTCTCAGTATTTCTCCCCTTTAAGTCCTGAATCAGCAGGTATTTACCTTTTTTTGGCCACGCATTGTAGCAGCAGAACCCCTTCAAAACAGGCTGAGCCGAAGCTGAGCCGAACCCCAGCTGCGTCTGTGTGTGTCTTTGGCAGTATCTGATTTCAGCAGGGCCTTGGCATCACTCTGAAAAGACTTTCAGACCCGTTTCTGAAGCAGGAAGAAGCCTGTGGCACATGGTTAGCTTCCCTGGGGCCAGGAAGATGAGGTGGTGTTGGCCACGATGCTGTTCCTTTTTTAAAAGGGGAGAGGCTGGCATTGGTGAGGGAGCCCATTTTTTTTCCAGAGCTCTTGACTTTGTTTCTGAAGATGTATTTACAAAGCCTGGCAGCTGAAGTTTGTGTCTGATTGGTCTACAGTGAAGCTGAAGTGGTTGCATCCTTTTCTCTTACTTACACATTGAAATGTAGCATGTTGTTTCCTCTTAAAAATATTGGACATTGTTTTCTTATGGAGGAAGAACTCCGTAAGTGTGCCCTGGCAGCTTTTGAAGTGCCAGCATCCCTGAACGTGGCAGAGGACCAGCTTCCCTCGCAGCTTTGTCTGGCCCCTGGTGATTCGGGCCGGGAGGAGGCAGCCTGAAGCACACAGAGCTGCTGCCTGGGCAGGGCACGGTGTTACCAGACTGAAAACCAGACAGCTAGAAATCCAGAGCCTGGTTTGGTGAGCACGGGGAGGAGGTGCTCACGCTGCCACGGCTGAGCACGGCTTTGGGTCGCTGCAGTGGCCCTTCGAGACGTGAGGGAGACAATGGGCAAGCACTGGAAACACAGCCCAGCAAAACCCTGCGAGTGCTCGGTGTGCTCAGCCCAGCAAAACAAAGTCTGAGTCATGATATGATGGCTGCTCGCAGAGAGCAGGGAGCGCAGGAAAGCTGCTCAGGCTGAAGAACAGATGGGCATAATCTGGCTACAAATAAACCCAGGCTAGAATCTGTAAGGTTTTCATCACACCGCTTTGATGGATAGTGGTTTTTTTTTTCCTACCTCTCGGAGCAGCAGGGTTGGAGTGGAACAGCAGGAGCAGCGTGACCAACGCAGTGCTGGCCGTTTTGGTGGTGTCCCCAGAGAGGGAAGGAGGGACGGGGGCTGATCCAGCTGACCCAGTGGTCCCGCTGCCCCCTGATCCAGGCTCCGCTCGGCTGCTTGTGCCTCAAGCCCACTCCTGCCCTTTGCTTGTCTTTAACAGGAGCCGTGTCCCAGTGATCGCACGGTGATCTTCTCTAGGTAGGTTAAAGCAGAGCAGCCAGCAGAAGCTGTGCTCTGCTCTTCCAGTTTAGAACCGACCTGCATTTCTTCGCCAGAAATACAATCTCTTCTGTCCACCCCCGTCCTTTTGCTGCTAACCAGCTCCTGTTGAGTCTTAGGATCGTGAGATGGGCCCTTGCTCCCAAAGGACCTGCGCCAGACATTCCTGATTCCATCAGCTCTTAAACTTAAGTCCTGGTAAACTCAGCCTAAATTATTTGGGATTTTTATTTCCCCTGGGTGTGCAGCTGGTTTATGAATACGGTTCTTGCAGTAAGCTCTAGTGTGGATGCGGCGTGTGGGGGAATGGTTATTCCCACGTGAGAGGAGCTAATTTGGTCTCGGCTGCTGTCATGGCACAGATGGCACCGGTGCTGCAGCTGCAGGAAACCGGCGTGGTCGGAGTGGGGCAGCTTTGTGGTCCTGAGCACTCCCCGACACCCCACCGCGAGCAGCTCGGACTCTGATCTGTTCCTGCAGAGGCACTCAGACCCCGAGGGCTGCCGTGGCAGGACAGGTCAGGGAGCGTGGAATCCTTCTCCAACGTGGCCCAGCGCGCCGTGCAGGTGCGGTGACGCTCGTCCCAGCACACAAAGGGAGGGTCTGTGCGCTTGGTTCTGGCCCCGCTGCTTTTGGGAGGGGGCAAGGGGCTGTGGCAGCGCTGCGAGTGATGCTCTCAGTGCAGACCGGGCGCAGAGGGGAGCCCCCGTGCCCTGCAGCCCCACATGGTGCTGGTGGAAATGGGCTGCAGGAGGTTTTGTGCTTCTCACATTAGGATAAAAGAAAGCACAGGAGAAACGGCTTCTGAGAAGCTTAAAAGGAGCAGGCTTTCCTTTCCTCCAGGGAAGGGCACGCAGCCAATGCCCTGCTCTTTACGGAGCTCTTTTAATAAGCAGAATATTGCATTACGAGTGACGGAGCCGGCTAACTACGAGCACAACAGCCCCGCAGCCCATGCACGTCCTTCCTTCCTCCCAGTGCCCGTGGGGCTCTGCGAGCTGCTGCCCATCGCCCTCGCCGTTATCTGCAGCCCGGAGCCGTGGCAGGGCGCTGGGGAGGGACGGCTTCGTTCAGCCAGACCCCTGCTGGAGGCTTATTGTTGAGTCCTCCAGGACTCAGCAGTCAGCCTCGCAGCTCTGGGGTGGTTCCTGCTTTGGGTGCAGCTCCTGTCCTCCGGGGCTCCATGTCTCCACTGCTCTCCTGCTGGGAGCTCAGCTGGCCTGCCAGCATCTGAGCAGTAATGAGAGAAGCTCTGGTGCACAGCTGGCCTGCGAGGCCGAGGAACTTGGGGACACCCCAAATGGGCTGGGTGCTTCTAGGATCCCTGTCAGGCATGGGGACAGGCGGCTCCTGGCACGCAGGGTGGCTTGGTTGGCTGCTTTTGGAAGAGTTAGCTCTCTTTTTCTTTACATCCCCAGTGAAGCTAAAAGGAGCACGGCCCAGTTTGTGGCTTTGTAGGTCACTGAAGGAGAAGGAGGGCTCTGCAGCGCGCTGTGCGTTGGGCTCAGGTGCTTTCCTCAGCCTGGGACTGCTGTGTGCTGCAGCGGCTGTGCTGAAAGCATGACACGGGCTGTGTCTCCGTCCTCTGGCTTTTAAGGAAGAAAACCAAGAGGAAATGCAGCAGGCTGACCCACCCAGCTGCCCCAGTATTGTGCTTGGGCTCTGTGTCTGCATCTTAAAAACGCTGGGGAGTGCATACTGACATCCAGGGGCGACCCGATGGCTCTCCTGGGCTTTGCTCAGCTCCGGGGTGTCTCAGCGCGCTTCTCCATGGGTCACGGTGCTGACGGGGCTCCTCCATAGGCTTGTGACCTGCTGTGTGAGACAGGGCTGCCTTGGGGCAGGAGCCTGCTTGGTGCCATGGAGCTGAGCAGTTTCCCAGCGTGCAGGATCAGCGCTGGCGTTTGAGGGACCCCGGTGGCTGCTGCCCAGCTCAGCACCCTCGCCCTGAGCTCCGTGGGAGCTTTCCACAGCCTGGTTATCACCTGGGTGCGTTTTTTCCTGCTCGGCTGTGGGCTGCTGAGTGGGAGCTGCTGAGAAAGCCCCGTCCTTGCAGCACGCTGAGCTGGCCAGCAGAGCAGCAGCCCAAGGGACACGGGACAGGCGCAGTCACGTTGGCTCCTGGCCGGCCGCGGGCAGGGGGAGGATTTGGCTCGCCGAGGGGAGCTCCTTGCGCTGCCTCCCGGGCACTGACAGCAATGTCACTGCGTCCCCGTGCCTGGTGGCAGCCTTCCCAAGCACGGAGCGAGCAGCCTCGCACTTGTATTTCCCAATTTAGTCACATCCTACCAGGCAGAACCGAGCCAGAGTAAACAGGAAAATCGCGCCTCTTGATGTCATCGCGCTTCCTTGGAGTGCCGGAGCTGCCGGAGCCCTTCCCTGGCAGCCCCCCCTCGGCAGGGACGCGGCTGAAGGCGCGATGGCAGCACCAGAACCGTGGCCTGGGGGACCATGGCTGCGTAACCCTGCAATGCCCAGCCCCCTGGTGGGGGGCTCTGCCTTCCCAGAGGGGCCTTTGGGGCTGCAGCCCCTGCTTCAGTGCTTGCTTCGCCTTCCAGCTGTGCGGGAAGGAGCTGGCGAGGCTGCAAGGGGGCTGTTGGGGGAACCACTGCAAGGTGCTGCAGCCCCCCGGGCACCGCAGGGTCTTTGGGGTGAGAAATACCCCAGGGTGCGTCTCAGCTCCTGCAGCAGTGGCTTTGTCACGGGCTGAGCCAGGGGGAGCACAACGAGGCGGTTCCTGACCAGAGCCCCTCGCCCACATCTGGGTAGGGGGAGCGGGGGCACGGCGGGCAAGGCTGCGCTGTCACGGTGGCTCCTTAATGTCACTTGTTCCCTGTCTCCTTTCACGCAGGTTTGGGAGGGTAAGGCAGCTTCTGAAGCACGCTGCTGAGAAGTTGTCTTCTCCATCAAGACCTCTGAGCTCCTTGCAGCAAGGAAGAGGCCAGGTAAGCCTGACAGCCATCGATTATCCCACGCCATGGTGATATTTAGAGGTGCTCTCTGTGGCTCTGCTCCTCTGCCCCAGTTTGTGCTTCAGGCTCAGGGGGTGCTGCTGTCCCCATGGGGCTGCAGCTTTGCACAGGGCTCTGCCGGGGGCTTTGGAAGCTGTGGGCAGCTCCTCCCTGCCTGTGGTCCCGGAGCACAGGGCAGGGCAGCTTCCAGCACGGCCTGCCCAGCCTCACACCAAGGCTTTGTGGCTCTGTGTTTCCCCTCGGTGGGGCTGAGGCCGATGCCGCAGTGGTACCAGCCCCAGCCTTGGGTCAGCAGCCACCTCCTCCCAGCCGGCACCGTGGGCATCAGGGATCTCAGCTCACGGCACCTTTCCTTGCAGGGCAGCCCCGAGCCATGTCCAACGACCCCCCGCCACCCTACCCGGGCGGCCCCTCGGCACCGCTGATAGAGGAGAAGCACGGCCCGCCCCCTGCCACAGGTACTGGGGGTCCCAGCTGCTGCGGGGTGCCGGGGGGGGTCTCTGCTGGGAGGGCAGGAGCAGGGGGAGTGTGGCTTCCCCGGGAAGAGCTGGGCCGTGGCTGCTTCTCTCTGCACTGCCCTGGACGTGCAGGCACTGGGGTGGCTGGCACGATGCCCTGCTCTGTGTCACCGCATCGCCCAGGGCAGGAGGTCCCGGGAGCAATGACGAGAGCAGAAAGCACCCCCTGCGCTGCTTGCTCACTGCAGTGGGGGGGGATTGGGGCTGCTTGTGGCCCAGGGGATGAGGCTCTGGCCTCGCTCAGCACAGCCCCACAGGCCTCCTGCTGTGTGCTGGGGGAATTGTCCACGGGGCACAGAGGCCCAGTTCCTTCCCCATGTCCCAGCCCCTCCCCATTTGCTCTGTCCCCCTCACCTCTTCCCTGCAGCCCCCCCTTCCCATTCCATAGCCCCCATCCAAGCAGAGGCCACCCAGCCAAGCCCCCACCTCCCCCTTCCCCTCTGCTGCCTCCTGTGACTCTGTGTTTCCTTCCAGATGGCGTCTCCCCAGCCGTGGGACAGCCCCAGGGGGTTCCCGTCCCCCCTCCTGAATTTGGGCCCCCTCCCTATGAGCCTCCGCAGCCGGGCTTCGTGCCCCCCCACATGCCCACTGACGGCTCCGGGCCCTACGTGCCGCCTGGTGAGTGCCACGAGGAGCTGCGGTGGTGACGGGTGGGGGTCCTGGGTGGGGGTCCTGGGGGTGTCTCAAGGAGGGGAGGCCGTGATGGGGCGCTGGGGCTGCCTTTAGGGCCGTGCAGCAGGCTACTTAGGGCAGGCTGGGGGGCACGGCGCCCACCCTGGAGCAGGGCAGCCCCCAAACCCAAAACCAAAGGTGTGCTGCAGCAGCAGGGCACCATGCCCTGGGGACGTGGCTTCGTCTGCCCCCCGCAGCCCGTTATCTGTGCCCGTTTCTCCTTCCCAGCAGGTTACTACCCACCGCCAGGCCCTCACCCTCCCATGGGCTACTACCCTGCTCCGGGCCACTATCCGTCACCCGGTGGCCACACGGCAACAGTGCTCGTCCCCTCGGGGGCTGCCACCACGGTGACCGTGCTGCAGGGAGAGATCTTCCAGGGCGCCCCGGTGCAGACGGTGTGTCCCCACTGCCAGCAAGCCATCACCACCAAAATCTCCTATGAGATCGGGCTCATGAGCTTCCTGCTTGGCTTCTTCTGCTGCTTCGTGGGGTAGGTGCTGCGGGCGGAGCTGGGGCCTCCCCGCCACCAGCAGCCACGTGGTGATGGGGTTCGCTCTGACCCAGTCCTGGTGGCCCCGATGCCAGTGGCTTTGGCCGTGCTGGTGGACACAGGGGGGGCCTCGGCACTGAATCTTTGCTGGGGCCGCATGGGGGTTCCTGGGGGTGGCAGTGCCTGGAGCCCTCAGCTCCTGCCAGGGGAGGATTTCCAAAGCTCTGCTGTGGAGGAGGCGCCTGTGCCCAGAACCGCAGAGCTGTGGTGTTGCCTTGCAGCAGGTACTCACCCTGCTGGTGCAGATTCCTGGCCCCAGAGCCACCCCCCTGCCCCATGGGCCCTTCCTGCTGTCCCTCTGTGCCTGTAGCTGTGCCCACGGTGAGCTCACAGCTCTGCACCTCCCTGTGCTGCAGGTGTGATCTCTGCTGCTGCCTCATCCCCTGCCTGTTCGACGACTTCAAGGACGTGACCCACACGTGTCCCAACTGCAAGGCCTACATCTACACGTACAAGCGCATGTGCTAACAGCGCCCCGGGAGCCCGAGCCACTGGAATGCCACCGGCCCCTCTCCCACTGCCGTCCTAGTCTACGCGTGTGCAACACTCCTTCGCTTAACCCGCTGGTGGTGTGTATGTGCATCTCCCTGCCTCCCTCCTGCCCCGAGCTGGGCACACCTTCCCCGAGCTCCGGTCCTGATGTGAATGGTGGATTGGGGACGCTGGTGTGGCTGCACAGGGGACGAGGGGGTTGAGGCCCCAGCTGCTGTGCATGGGGGCTCTCTCCAGCAGCTGCCTGGCAGCACGCAGGAGCGGGACGGGGTTCTGCACCCCGTGTGCTCCAGGGCAATACTGGAGCAAGCTGGGGACACAGCAGCTGATGGAGGCACCCACCCCTCAGACATGGTGCCCTGAGCAGGAGCTGCTGCAAGCAGGGGCAGGCACTAACCTGGAGGGCAGCCAACGGAGAACACGGGAGGATGCAGTCACCTGGCTCAGCTGCAGCCCTTTTAGGAACGGGCCTGGTGGAGGCTCAGTGTTGAGGAGACAGAGGGGTCAGTGTGAGGTTCTGACGTGGCTCCAGGCCCTCTCCAGCCAGGTCAGGGTGCAGCCCACAGGCAGCACGTCCCCAGGAGCACGCAGAGCTGCCTTCAAGGTGTGTGTGTGGGGGGCCAGGGTGGCTGCCTTGCCTTGGGGCTGCGGCACTGCACCCCTCATCAGCCCACCTGTCCTGCCAGGGCACCAGCTGCATGCGCCTCCTGCCAGCCCTGCTGGGGATGCTTTGGGGAAGGAAAGCCCCCGGCTGCTCCTCGCCCACCTGGCAAGCCCTTAGAAGTGCATCCAGCATGTTGCTACCTGCCCCCAGCACCGTAGAGTAGGGGAGTTTGTTACCCAGCTCCCAGCTCTGGAGCAGACCCACATCCCCACCCCGAGCCCAGCAGGGTCTGGGGGGCAGCCCCGTGGCGTTCCTCCTTGCATGTGGGTGTGGGGGGTTACTTTTAGCTCACTTCATACAGGGCAGAAGGATGGGGGCAAGCAGGCAGCAACACCAGCTGCCAGCAGCACTGTGACAGACAGGGGCAAGAGGCCCTGGGAGGCATTTTCAGTCCCTCTATGGCCACACCTCGCACCCCTTCCCACAGCTCCTGCAGCTGGAGCACGAAGCCCCCCCAGCTAAGCAGGGGGGCAGGGAAGGCTCCTCAGTAAGGTCTGCAAACACAGCCCGGCCTTTGCAGGCAGCTGCTGTTTGCTCAGAGGTGGAACTGTGGCACTTGTCCCAGTGTTTGTATGTAAATAAACATCAGACCCTGAGATCAGCATTCGGCTTTTCTTTTCCCCCTGCTCCCAAATGCACAGATCTGCCCCAAGGAAGCTGAGAAGGGATTGTGTAAGCGTGTGTGGGAGGGGCAGCATCCCCCCAGCCCACGGTGTTAGGGGGAGGGAGGTGACATCCCCATGCTGCAGCCCAGGCACCCCACTCCTGTCCACACGGCCACCAAGGAAGGCAGCAACAGGGGCAGTGCTGGAGGAAGGCAGAGCAGCACCAGCAGCCCTTGGTGAGGCCCAGCACTGCTCTGGGACACAGAGGGCACAGAAGCAGCTGTGTGACACAGGGCACCTGCCTCGGGGGAAACGTTTCCTCCCATCAAAGAGGACAAGAAGGGGTGACTAGGAGGCTCCTCGGGGCAGCAGCCAGTCACCTCCTCACAGGAGCTGGGTAAAAACAAACAAGAGGACACAGCAGGGATGGGGTGAGTATGACAGGAGTGCCTCAGTGGGCGAGTCAGAAAAGGACAAAACCACTCCATTAACCCAGCCCTCCACCCCCCAGGCCCACACTGATGCCTCTGGCTTTCCCCAGCTACAGCATAGCAAGTTTTTATTCCAGTCAAGGCTTCAGCAAAGAATTGATGTTGCACAATATACATCTGACACCTCCATACCCCCAACCCACACATTTGGTCCTGTCCCTTCACCCAGGGAGCTTCCACCCGTGAGTTATGCTTGGTCCCTGGGACACTGCAACAAGCAGGACATTCCTTTGAGCTAACGGGCCCGTGGCACAGCCACCACAGCATGACAGAAACATCAGTTTCTCAGGGTACAAAATTGAGTGCTCTTCGCTGAAAAGACCGATGACACATTCTTGGGTTGCAGCCCAGGGCAGGAAACACCCTCCAGAGACTGCTCCAGGGAAAGAGATGAAAAGCCAAGCATGTGTAGACTTTGTCACTACAGGACAAGACATCTCGAGCCTTAAAAGCTGCTCCAGCCTGAGCGGAGCAGTGCTGAACTGGAATCCTCACATCCTCTCACCAGACCAGTCCTGTACACTAGTTAGCTAAAGACATTACATTACTGTGCTTGCATTATTGGTGTGCAAAAAGTTTTGGACAGTCCCCCAGAATTCCCCCCCCCCCATTACTTCCCTGCAGTCAACTCCACCAACGGCGAGGGAACAGTTTGGAAAAGGACAGGGTGTGCCTTGCCACTACCAAGAGCCAGGTGGCAGCCTTGGCATCACATCATGTACCACGCTGCAGCTCCTGCTGCCACAGCAACGCAAGCCGCGAGGATCAGCTGCACCAGGGGCTGCTTGGCCATGGCCACGGCAGCGTGGTAGGGACAGCCGGGTGCTGCCTTGCCTGCCAGGACACAGAAAGCATCGTCAGTGCTGCGAGTCTTTCGCCATATTCATGCAGCTGCTCCCTCACTGCCCGCGACCTACCTAGTTTGTCTGCATAGTAAGGGCATTTGCGCAGGTCTCCTCTTCCATCGTGGACTGGAAGGCCTCCTTCCTGGGCTTCTTCTGTCAGCGACTTGCCGATCTTGTCCAGCTCATCAAATACCTGCACGTGGGCACAGTGAGCACACAAGGTGAGCAGAGCCGGGCAGCGTTCCTCCAGAGCCATGGGATGATCTGGAGAACAAGCAGGAGCTGCTTCTGCCTCCCTCCACCCAGCTCCCAGATGCAGCATTTGGTACTCGTTTCGGAGTGCCTTGCAGGCAGATGTGTGGTGACGTCTGGGATGTGCCACAGCTCAGAAGGCGTAGCACATACCAGAAGCTGTTAAATCCAGCAGTGAGACGCAGCATCACCCTGCTGTTTGCCCTTCAGCCTGCCACAAGGCAGAGTTCTCCCCTCCCTGCTGCCAGAGCTTCTGCAAGGATCCCAACAAACAAAGGAGCCTACCACGTCCTGCCACACTTCTGACCAGCTTGAACCACAGTGACCTGCTGTGGGCACAGATGAAAGCTTGAAGCCAGTAACTGAGACTGTGCTCATCCCCCAGTGCAGCTCAGTCACATTTTATGACAGGCAAACACTGAGGGAAGTATCAAGGGGCCACAAGCTTACAGACATGTCTGGCCACTCAGCACCATGCAGCATCTCTGGGTGAGATGGGGGATGAGTGAGGTGCAATGCACTCAAATTGATTGAGGCTGCTTCAAAGTGAGAGTTTTGCTCCCACTGCTGCTTCAAAGCCATACAGCCCGTGGCAATCTTACAGCAGTCATCTCAGTTTAGCCTCCAGGGCTCAGCTGTGGTGCTGGTATGTGGGAGGAATTCCTGCCTGATACCAGCCATGTCTCCAGAAACTAGCAAAAGAGCTATTCAACCTAGAATCCCACACAGCAAAGGCAGAACTCCCCCCCCACACACACACCAGAGCCCCTCCATCTGGCTTCTGACCCAAACCACTATGCCCAAGCGAGCAGAATTAACCCAGGCCTAAAAGCTGGTCCAGAGCTGGAAGCAGCAGCACCTACATCTACAGGGGCTCAAGGGATGCAGTACCTGCATGTTAAATCTGAAGGCTCTGTTGGCCTCTTCCACGATCCGCTCCTTACAGCTCTTGTCCAAGTCCAGCGCATTCAGCCTTGCTCTGTACAACTGCTTGAACTGCTGCGCATTAGAAACGTTTTCAAACACGTAGAATTGGATCCCTTCGTCAGTACTGGGCAACTTCAGGGCCCTCTGGGCTACCTTCTTCAGCACCTGGCCACCTGAGAGGTCCCCCATGTAGCGTGTGTAAGCGTGAGCCACTAGCAGCTCAGGCTCGTGCTGCCCCACATGGTGGATTCTGTCCACATAGTGCTGCGTTGCCTCTGAGCACTGTATCTTCTCTTTCCAGTCTTCTCCATAGAAATATTTCATGTCTTTGATCAATGCTTCTTTCCGGTGAAGCTCTAGAGGGAAATACAGAGGAGCAAAGACCGGGTTGTCCTTATTGCGATCCATTTCCTCTTCCAGAGCAGAGTACGTGAAGTAAAGTGCCACAGTAGCCAGCTACGGACAAAGCACAGCGGATGTGAGAGGCCGTTCACTTGAGAGGCACACGACACCTTGTGACTGCCCCACCCCTGCACAGAGTTGGGGTACACGAGGAGAAAACCCCACGGCTCTACACAAAACCTGCCTGGAGAGCCCGTACCAGGCACGTGTCACTTGAAGAATCTTCTCTACCAGTGTTCCTAACAACACTGCCTACAGAGCAGGAGCTAAGAATTAACCGAATGCTGCCAGCTGCTTGCTCTGGGCCTCCTGTCACCTTGTTGGCAAGGCACAGGGACTGAGTTCATCCTGAAGGTACAACCAGCACCAACAGCCTCATGCTAGAGAATACTGAGTGTACCAAGACCTTCAGGATCAGACAGTGCTACTTGTACCCCCAATCCCACCCCTTCTGTTCAGAATTTTATGCAAAGTCAAAGATTTAGCTTTGACTAAGACTGACTAGCTTTGTCTCCAGAGGCCGAAATCAGTGCCATAAACCCACCCAGACTTCGCTCCTGAGCAGCTCACACCACCCGTGTCTGTGTGGCAGCCGCACCTGCCCCGAGCAGCCCACAGACATGTGGCCAGATGCCCAGCACTTCCACTCAAGTTGTTCTGGACCAGCACACTTCAGCTTGCACCAGTTATTGGGTACGTCAAGGAGCTCCACTGCCAAGGAGCACAGCCACACTCACCTTGAAGAGCTCCTTCTTGATCCGTCCTTTCAGGAAGTCTTTGACGAACTGCGTGTTCTCCGCACGGTCATGGGATTCCTTAGTCCCATCCTTCAGCAGCTCTGAAAGGTCGGTGGGGCTGCAGGCAAGCAGGGAGAGCTCCTTTCACTCCACCTCCAGGCACAGCAAGCAGCTTGGCCCTGCTGCATTTGGAGGGAGCCTCCACCCCCGCCAGCCCAGGGCAGCCATCCTGGGGGTCCCTCAGCCCACCCCAGGCTGCAACTGGCACGACCTGGAAGTGATGAGGGCAGCAGCCAGGCTCCCACCGGCCAGCCAGACTTGCCAGCGTGAGAGGCCTGATCCTTACCAGAAGCTCAGACCCAGGATGCCGAAGCAATTGCCAAGGATCCCCAGGTGCTTGCACTGTTACTTTTGCTTCTCACCCCTGTGAGCCCCAGCAACACTGAAAAAGGAGACCTTGAGTGTATCAAGGGCAACTACCAGGGCAGCCTAAAGAGCCCAGGAGCCTCAGCAGTACCCCTCCTTGGTCTCTGCAGATGAACACACAGGCAAGACCTTAGCTTTTCTAACTGGGGCATCAGTGGTATTATAGTAGTTGCTGAAGAAGAAATGAGAGCCCAGCAATGAAACAGGGCAGGAACATCCTTAAAAAGCTTACTTATCCTGCATTACACTGGTTTTGCAGGTTTTCACAAGCTCTCCTTCTAGAAATGTATCATCTCAGATTACAGCCACTGCACTACCTGAAGTTAGGTACAGTTCTCAACACCTACGCTCACAAAATTATGCCACAGTGCATCTTGAATATGCTATCTGTAGCAAAGCAGTCATAAAAACTGTGTACATCAGCTGTGAGTCTTTGAACACTCCATACTCATGCATCCAACAGGCTAGAGAAGGCCCGGACACAAGAGGAGCGCCTGGAAGCAGAACAGGCTGAGTTTCATGAGAAGTGACTCCAAGAGAAGCAAACCCATCCATTCAGGTATCCTGGGAGCCACCCTACTCACCCTTCTCATCTACATACCTTAAGTTTTTGCTTTTAAAACATGGTTGATGGACTGCACCGAGTGCAACTGCATCACGTCTACAAGCAGGCAGCTACTAATTGTATGGAGGGACAAGCAAACAGCTGTGTACTGCTGAATTAAGTAACATCCACGTTTGTTCTGCAGAACATCACCTTACAAAACAGCCCCAATCTCTGTAGGAATAAACACAACTACTTATTTCCTTTAGCTGTAGGGCAGCCTCAGTCCCAGCTGGACTTGTTTCCAGCTCAGCTTACTCAGGCTGCTCCGCATCCACTGTTCAGAGCAGTCCTGTAGATACTACAAAGGCA